TTAGTAAATCAGTCTGAAAACAAGATCAAAAAGACTTTTTGGCTGATATAAGGTTTTAAAACTTGGTTAAGTGGACAGTTTTTACAGTGCAGACTGAGCTCATCAAACCTGTGGACTAAATATATCAAATAATCAAAGGCTAGATTGCATAATGTGCATTTATACCACTTTATATATTAAAATTAGCTTCTTCTTCTCCTCCATACTGCCTGACCACACCTGTGCTCTATGTGTCTATCATAAATAAATTCTGCTTTTCATCTTATTTTTGTAGTTTTTCATCTTTTAATGTCCTTATTTTATTTTAAAATGTACATGTATTTAGTTAAAACGAGTGTTGTAAAGGAAAAGCTAAAGGAGAACCGTGACGATGTGAGTGAACGTCCCTGTGTTTAACAGAAACAAGAGGAAAGCGCCGCTCAGGCTGATTTTTGGGCCCTCTGGGCACCCTTAGTTTCTCTGTGGTAAACGTTACAGTACCTGCAGCTGCGTCAGCTACACTAACCTGGAGCAGATCTTCTTACAGCAGTAAGGCAAACTGGATTTCTTATTGCCCCGAACGCTTTCAGGTGTCCAAACGTCCCGAGTGTGTCCCTGTGGACTGCTGAGCAGAGTGGAGGGACGTGAGGACAGAGGAGGGGGTAAAAGTGCTGCACTATGTGAGGGAGGAGTCCTCCACTCTGAGTCCACCTGGGCACACCTCCTCCTGGGCTTTTCTTTTCTTTTTTTTTGCATCGTCACTTTAACGGGACACTCTGAGCCTCTGTGGGCTCGTTTGTGAACGATGAGGAGGAAAAGCTAAACTCTGCACTCGGGCTCTGACAGAAACAAAACAACAGATATGATGGAAATCAAACAGGAAGTGATGACTGAAGTGTCGTCAAGCCTTCAGGGACAGTGATGAGATGATAACAACACTTCTTCACACGGACCAGTGAGGCGGCTTCTGTGCACGTGGAGGTGATGTTAGTCATGTGGGTGAACGAGTGAGTGGATCAGGAACAGTACCAGAGACGGGTCCTGTGGTCCAGCTGCTGGATCCACTCAGTCTCTGCTTCCTGTGAGCATCACTTCACAAGCTCCGCCTCCTCCGTCTGGGTCTCTGCCCCACAGAAATCCTCTCCTGGTGCACCAACGGCGCTCCACGTCCCCGGAGAGCGGCGGTACCTCTCTACCCGTCCCAGAACCAGAACCAGAACTGTGACCGGGCCGCAGAGACAAGCAAAACTGGGAAAGAAAAGATGACAGCACGTCGGAGAGGAGGAGGAGGAGGAGTGGAGCGAGAGACAGTTTGTTGTCCAGGAACCAGCTGCCCGGTCCAAAGCTCCGCTCCGCTCCTGGATGATCCAGTTCCTGCGCTGACCCGCCTCAGACTTTATAATAAATGTTGGCCGGGCTCTGAGGAGGCATCTCCTGCACTATGTAGACGGGGTGTCCGTAGTCCCCGCTGACCTTCTCGTAGTGCGGACAGAACACGCTGTCAGCAGTCCTGAGCGGGATGATGATGTCGCTGGGCTCGGAGCCGTTGTTGTTGCCGCCGCCGCCGCTCCGTTTGGGCGTGGCCAGGGTGCTGAGCGACAGCGTGGCCGTGTGCTGCGGGGAGTGCTTGCGGTGCCGCCGCCGGTACTTCAGCAGCAGCAGGACAAGCATGATGATGATGATGATGAAGATGACGCTGCCCGAGGCGATGCCCACAAAGATGGCCACCTCGGAGCCGATGACGCTGGAGGACTTCCCGTCGGTCCCCGGGGCTTTGTTGTCGTCTTGGGAGATGGAGTCTGTTGAGACAAAAACATGGTTTAAAATGTGAGTCTGTTAAAAATCAAATGTAACAAACTGGTCCTCAGGTCCAACCAGGACCTGCTGAAGAGACGGACCAGTTCAGAAACATCCAGACTTTATTGTTCCAGCTCTGGAGGCAGGAAGGAGCAGATGTACGGGATCAAACTTGTGCCAACAGGAACTGAATCTGAATTCTTCAGATTAAATCTGAATGTGCAGAATCAGAAACTGAATGCATTGATTTGAAAATAAATTTCACTAAATTTAAAGTTTTGAATCTGAATTAATTTTCTTTGAAACTGTATTTTGG